ACGTCCTCTCCTGGTCCCTAACAGTTGGTCAGCGTCCCGGAAGATGCTGCAGACTCAGTGGCAGGTCTCGGTCTTACACATTTCATTTTCATTTCTATCCAGTCGGGGCTGCGGAGTAAGTGGTCCTCAGGTCATCCCCCGTCCCCGCAACTTCCATCCTGCAGGAGTTGCCAGGTCCCGGGAGTCCCCGAGGGAAGTTTCCTTGCGAGTGCAAGTCCTCGTGAGCAGTCAGCACCTTTTGTTTTTTGAATATATTTTTTTAAATATATTTTATTGATTTTTTACAGAGAGGAAGGGAGAGGGATAGAGAATTAGAAGCATCGACGAGAGAAACATCGATCAGCTGCCTCCTACACACTCTCTACTGGGGATGTGCCTGCAACGAAGGTACATGCCCTTGACCGGAATCCAACCTGGGACCCTTCAGTCCGCAGGCCGATGCTCCAGCCACTGAGCCAAACCGGTTAGGGCATGTTTTCTGAATATATTTTATTGATTTTTTATAGAGAGGTAGAGGGATAGAGAGTTAGAAACATCGATCAGCTGCCTCCTGCACACTCCCCACTGGGGATTGCCCTTGGTGCATGCCCTTGACCAGCCAGGTTCCCTTGAGTCCGCAGGCCTACGATCTAGCCACTGAGCCAAACCGGTTAGGGCACAGTCAGTACCTGTGAGAGCTTATTGGCTTTATTTTTCCAGCTGTCGGGAGGAGGCTTTCAGAGGCGCTTCTGGCAGAAGGAGACCCGATTGGACCTTGTTGGGGGCTTCCTTTGCCTGCGTGCCAATTTTGGCCTCGGAGCAGCCGTCCTCAACCATTAATTTTAAAAAAGAAAAATTAACGAATGCATTAAAGGAAAGAAAAGGAAACGTTCTTTGCCAGCTGGATATAGGAAGTAGGAGTTCAATACTGAAATATTTTTTTTTTAGGTTTTCTACGGAGTGTGGGGTGGGCCCTACCTACCTGCCACAGACTCAGCCAACTTTGGATAGAGAAGGTGTGGGAAGAAAAAGTCAGGTTGTTGCCGAGGGTACTGGGTAATTAAGCCCAGGATGGTTGGTTCTATATTGAACATCTTGTTTTTTCTTGTCATTACTCCCTGAACAGTACAGTGTAACAACTATTCATATAGCATTTACATTGTATGAGGCAATGGAAGTAAACTAGAGATGACTTAAAGTCTATGGGAGAAGTGCATTAGACTCAAATACGACTCCACCTTTTCATGAGACTTGAGCACCTGTGGATTTTGGTGTCCGTGGGGATCATAGAATCAATCCCGCCCCTACCAAGAGACAACCAGACTTCATTTTCCACAAGGTTTGGAGTCCTCTGAACACTGCGTCAGTTTTGGAGTGAGAAAGTCAAGGCCCTGATAGAGTTTGCTTTTGTAACTATTTACCTTGCTGCAAATCATTTTTGTAGTGAAAGAGGATTTCTAGTTAATTTGGATTTTGAAATGCCACAATTCAAACATTATACATCAGATTTTCCTTCATCCTTCTGTAATAGAAAAAAAATCTGCCTTCAGTTCAGTTATTTTTACTTAATTCTTGAAATCTGTATTTTTTAAAACTTTTTTTTAAAAGAAAGGCAAGCTTATTGTCTGTTTAATGTAAAGATATGTGGAGCATTTGAAGTAGGGTTGATTATCAAAGAATAATTTTTGGTGCAAAATTGTAACCCGTTGAATGAGAAATGTAAATTAACTATATCCAATAGTCAACACGCCCTGTAGGTATATTTATAAAGGATAGAACTGCTGTTTAGACATTGGCCATATGTTTTTAATAGAAACAAGCTAGAAGATTCACAAAATTGTAAAAAAGCAAGATGGGACAGGTTTTAGTTTGTAAATCAAACAAATCTTAACCTCTTGACGCTTCTCAGAGGAGGCAGTGCAGTGAGTGAATGTGTGTTTAGATTCCCAAGGCCAAGGACAACTTCAAATATCTTAGTTACTCTAAGAATGTCATACCAGTTCTCAAATGTTTGAGTTAACTGACGTCTTCTTTCTCTTCACTTAATCAAAACCTTGCATCTTTTCCTTAAAAAAAGTGAAAAAATAAATCCTGACTTCTGGGGGACAGAGCTCAAAGCAGCACACTCAGAAATATATTTTTTTTTCAAAGACTTCATTTTCTATCTTAAAAATTGATGAATTTTGTATCTCACCCTAATATATTTGACAGGGGTAAAACCCAAATTTTGTCCCTAAATCCTCAAGTAAGATTGATATTCCAGAAAGATAACTCCTCCTTATGGTTCTGTGTATCCTCCCCACATACACATGCATGAGCACACACCCTCTTTATGCTCATTTGAAAGGCATGAATTGTGTCTCACATTTTCTTCTAAGAGTTAACAAATTGTTTTTACTCACTTATTAAGGATCTACTGTATTTATAACTCAAGGTTAGAATTGGAGCATATCAGAACTGATCCAAACCCATACTTTTGCAGAAAAAGAAAACTGAGGTTGAAAGAAGTTAAGAATTGAAATACATAATACTTTAGTAATATATAAGATATGATATTTGATAAATTTAGCAAGATTTTCTTGAAGGACTCAAACATGTATGTTCAGGAATATGCAAAGTACATTTACTGATAATAATGAAATATTACAAATAGCTTGAATGCCCAACAGCAGAGATTGATTAAATTATAGTAAATCTATTAGATGAGAAATTGTTTAGTCATAAAAGCACATTCTAGATAGAATATATTACCAAATTCTTAGGGGGAGGTATATTTATAGGATAATTTTACTTTCTAAGTAATTCAAAGAACAAAATATAATTTTTGTAACTTAAGAAAAGTTTTAAAAGTATATGTTAATAAAGACATGGATATATTTATTTGTTAATTGCCAATTGTCTCTTATTTACTTAATTATTTGTATGATTTTAGAGAGAGGAAGGGGGAGAGAGAGAAACATCAAAGTGAGAAAGAAACATCCATGTGAAAGAGAAATATCAATCATTTGCTTCCCATATGTGCCCTGATTGGGGATCAAACCCACAACCTGGATATGTGCCCTGATGGGAATCGAACCCACCACCCTTTGGTGTATGGAACAATGCTCTAACCAACGGAGCCATACTGGCCAAAGCACCAATTATCTCATACATATCAATTTTGTTAGAGATGTATTAATTTTAACTTGACCATGTCTCTAATTATTGTTCACATGGCTGTGAAAGTGTTTTGACAATCCTTCCACATCTCCCCCTAATCATACTTTTCCTATTTTAGAAAACTATTTGATGATAGGGGAAAGGTAGATATGAAATGACAAAAACAAGTACCAAAACAGCATGTAAGATAACCCTCATATATACAAAATGAATTGTATGCAACCTATGATAATGAAAGTATAGCCCTAACCGGTTTGGCTTAGTGGATAGAGCGTCAGACTGCAGACTCCAGGGTCCCAGGTTCTATTCCAATCAAGGGCATGTACCTTGGTTGTGGGCACATCCCCAGTGGGGAGTGTGCAGAAGGCAGCTGATCGATGTTTCTCTCTCATTGAAGTTTCTAACTCTCTATCCCTCTCCCTTCCTCTCTGTAAAAAAATCAATAAAATATATTATTTTAAAAAGTGTAATATGCTATTAGACTGGACAGCCGAACGACATTCCAGACGTCATTTCGGATGTCCTTCTGGACACTCTATCCCTCTCCCTTCCTCTCTGTAAGGCGGTTAGGGGTGATCAGCAGGCAGGCGAGCAGTTAGGGGTGATCAGGCAGACAGGCAAGTGATTAGGGGTGATCAGGCAGGCAGGCAAGTGTTTAGGGGCAATCAGGCAGGTAGGCAGAATGGTGAGGGGTGACCAGGCAGGCAGGTAGGTGAGTGGTTAGGAGCCAGCAGTCCCAGATTGCGAGAGGGATGTCCGACTGCCAGTTTAGGCCTGATCCCGATCGGACATCCCCAGAGGGGTCTCGGATTGTGAGAGGGTGCAGGCTAGGCTGAAGGACACCCCCCCCTGCATGAATTTTGTGCACTGGGCCTCTAGTATAAATATAAGCTAAAATGTTAACAATGCTTATCTCTGTATGATGAAATTAAATACTGGAGACAATTAAGACCTATAAATATGCATTCTTTATATTCTTCTGGATGTTCCAGACTGTCTACAATAAAACCTAATGTATGAGTTGAGAGCCCTGGTGGGAAGGAAGACACCAAAGTGGTTTTAATAACAGGCTTCATCCTTTTATGAAGAGTTGGAGATGACTTTATAATCTGTTTGCATCTTCACTCTATATTATTCTCCTTATATCACTATATTGTGTTGTTTATTTATTCCAGTTATTTGAATTGAATATCATAGTAATACAGGTGGGACAAAAGTAGGTCTACAGTTGTAAGTATGTGAAACAGTTTATTCTTGTATTATTATTAACTATTGTATTATTTTCTTTTTTAAAAAATACAGTTTTATTGATTTCAGAGAGGAAGGGAGAGGGAGAGAGAGACAGAAACATCAATGATGAGAGAGAATCTTGGATTGGCTGCCTCCTGCCACTCTGGGGATTGACCCGCAACCCGGGCATGTGCCTTGACTGGGAATTGAACCATGACCTCCTGGTTCATAGGTCAAAGTTCATCCACTGAGCCATGCCAGCTGGGCTATTGTATTATTTTCATATGAACAACAGTAAACCTATGTTTGCCCCACCCTGTATTATGTAAGAGAGAATTTAAGTAATGCTAAACATGTGCTTACTGTATACTATTATTGCAAAAACACCAAGTTTATTTCCCCATTAAAAAAACTAAGTGCTCAATTTTCAATGCTTCATTATTATATTGATGTTGTGACTAACTATATACTTATAGTATGCCAAGCCTTAAACTGATAACTTTCCTAAAATTTAAAATCAAAGAACTTACTAACAAAGAAATAGAAGGGAAATATAAATACTAGTCAAAAACCCACAATATCAATGTTGTTTTTTGGTTTTTTTTAATGAAATTTTAAGAAAAGTCAACAGGAGCAATGTCACATTTAAAGTTTTTATTAAAGACCATTTCAGAAAAAGGAATAGAAATTAATATATGATTTTCAAATGATGACATTAAATTCAAGAGAGTTTCAGTATGTGTTTGTTTTCCCAAATACAAAACTTCATATATAATCAAGAACTATTTTTTAAAAAGTCACAAAATCACCTTGAATGCAAATGTTATCTTTATTATTATTCTTAGTTGATGTCTCTAGCACTTTATTATTCTAAATGTTGAGATAAAAATAGGAAAAGACATGTGAAGCCATCTTTAAACTATGAAGCACTATTCAATTATTACTGATTTCTGTGAATAAAGAAAGCATGATGAGTACAATATTAAAACAGTTGTAACTAAGACTAAATTAAATCCTTTCAATATGAAACTCTTTTCTAATATTCCTAAAGAAAATTATTGTACTGCAATTACAATTAATCTCCTAGTTAAAATGAACTTTTTTTTAACCCAACAAAGTTGGTAAATGTTATCAAGATGCTAATCATGAAGATAACATTAAATGACCGTTTAATGGTGATATTGGAATCCATGGGGATACTGTAGTGAAAATACTAGGTTTTTTGTTACATAATAGGTATTTTTTTATTGCTGAAAAAATTATTTTTTATTTTTCTTAACAGTTATTAGTTCCAAAATGTCATTCTTTTCCTTTGCCCTCTTCTTCCTTCCTACTGCAGAGGCCGGCCCAGGAGACCCATGATGTAATCTTCAGAGAACAGGAGAAAATGCCTGGAAAAACAAAGTGCCAACCCAAGACCTTGCATATGGAAACAGCTAGGGAGGTGGGTATGTCTCTGTGATGCAATGAATGTTCCTCATATACTACTGAAGATGTCAAATTGCTGTAGAGATTTTCTTAGTAATATGGCTTTTAATGGGTGACTAAATGAAAGAACTATCCAAGTAGTAGTACATTCTTAGTTTTTTTTATTCTATGATTTGCATATTCTTCAGTATAAATATGACAATGATGAAAACCATACACATTTTTTTTAGATTATATAGGTTTCAAGTGTACAATTCTGTAAATACATATTCTGTGAATTGCATGGTGTACCACC